GGGGGGAGGGAAGACGAAGCCTCGAGCCGACGTCGGGCCGCATCGTTGATGCATCGGCGATGCGTCACCTCCTCATTATCGAAAGGACAAGATACACGGACATATACTTTGACAAAGAACGATGGGCTTATTCCCAAACTTGTCAACTAGAACGTGCTGGCCTAAGCTGGGCGATATGCGAATTCAACTCTGACGGCACAACCCGCCCCGAATCATGGCTCTCGCGTTCACGCTACTCTCACACCGTGTACAATGCGGACGGACTAGGCGCTGTTCTTGGTGAGTCGCTATCCTGTTGTGCGCGCCTCGCGCTTCGCCCGCAGCGGACGCGCGCGCGCGATGGCATCGGCGCGCGCGCATTTCCAGCACGCGCCGATCCCGCCGCGCGCCATGCGCGCCAAGGCATCAGTGCGCACGCGACATCCCAACGCGGACGCGAGCCTTCTGGGCGCGCGAAACGCGCGACAACAAATCGCTCGACCAAACCGCGTGACATACTTGCCCCGTGGTCAGCATCCCCAATGAATTTACAATTCGACTGGCGCTTGCGCTGTTTTTGTTGCACGTCTTCCATGTGCATTTTGTAGTCGCCACTTCGGATTTTGTCGCGGGTTTGCACCGCCGGCGGATTTTGTCGTCCGCCTCCCCTTTTTTCTGTCGGCAATTTTGTTGTCTTCTGAATTTGTCGTCGGCCTCCATTGTGTTTTGTCGTCGGTGTTTCTTGTCGTCGGCTCCGTTTTCCGTTGTCGAATTGTTGTTGCGTTTGTCGTATGTTCTCCCTCGTGTCCTTAACGATCGGATTCAGACGCTTACTCAGCTCACGCTCTTCAACATGTTTGGAGTCTTTCGCAACCAGGTCAACCTCCAAGACCTTACACGTTTCCCGCGTCCCCACCACCCCGTTCAGAAACGATGCCCAAGCGCTGCTCATGGAAATTCGATTCTTGATCCTCGCCCGCCCCCTTGAGAGACCGCGCGCACCTGCTGCGGGAGGCTAAGCGGTAACCGCGTTTGATACGCGTGATGGGCGACGCGCCTTCATTCATAACAAATGGATGCCTGTGACCATTTGTACTGCCCTTCGTCGTTTCGCGATCCCATGGAAACGGGGCCCATGAGATGCGGGGCGATCCTGCGGCCCCGCCAACCCGAACCCCATGTGGTGAGCCTAAAGATGAGAAGACGGCCCTGAGGAAGAGGTTAGAGGCCTCCTAGATGGGGGCGGAGTAGATGGGGTCGGAGGATCGCGCCGCATCGCCGATGCATCGGCGATACATCGACGATGCATCAGCGATGTATCGGCGACGTCGGCGGTGCATCGGCGACGCCTGCGCAGAGAAAATCGGGCTCCACATCGAGCCGCATCGGCGACGCATCGACGATGCGGCGCGATCCTCCGACCCCATCTACTCCGACCCCATCTGGGAGGCCTAGAGAGGTATAGCATTCAAGGGAAACCCCACGAAACAAATCGCGACGCCTGCGGAACGGAAGGCGTGCTGCGTGCTCTCGGCTCACGTGCGGGAGGGCCCTGGGGCGCGACGCCCGACGGCTCTCGTCGGCCGGGATCCCGGCGCTGTCCCTCGAGCCACTCGTGCAGAGGTCACCCGCCACCGACACAAGCATGGCCACCACCATCACCATCACCGTCCTCACAATCGTCATCGTCGTCATCCTCGCGGTCGGCGTCCTTCGAGGTTCGCGGCCCCTGGGCGGCCGAGGCTCCAGGAACGGGAGAGGCTCCAGGCGTGCGGGAGCGTTTTTTCTGTTATCCGTTATTTTCTCCCACATCAATGCAGTTCGTCATGCAAAGCGCAAAGGTCCTAACTGATGGGAAGAAGACTCCACGATGTGTAGCGGACGCTGATGCCAATTACGGCAGGCTCTGGCGTAAATGATCTTCCCCACGGACAGATCTCCCCATTCGCAGTATCATCAACGTTGATGCGCCTCGCCTCCAACACCAAAAACCATAAACGGAATTCAAGACCGGAGGTCCAAGACTACCGCAATAACCAACCGAAAAGAAACAAAATGATCGACCCACGACCCCAGAAAGGGATTTAGAAGTGCGAGGCATGGGAACGTTTCCAAGCACTTCGATTGCGCGATGGGCAGTGGCACTGCTGAAGATGCCAATGATGATGACGGTGTTCTGCCAAGGGCTGTGTTATTCTGCTCTGCGCTGTGCCGCGCCGCATAATAATAATGTGCCAGGGGCACGGCACAGAACGTGCCAATGGAAGTGCCACGGGACTTGCCAAGGGACATGCCGCATTGAACTGTGCCGTGCGCTATTGAATTGTGGGTCCAGCCGTCTTTGGCGTCAGAATCCTGATCGAACTGATTTGGATCGTGAGCTCGAGCTGTCTGAACGAATAGCTCGTGCGAGTTGCAGTCGAAACGCGCGGGGCGCTCGACCAGCTCGAGCTCAAGATCCGATTCAGTTCCTCAGTCCTCGCTCGAGACACCCAGACAAAGGGCCAGACGACCACATGTTGGATATATCACTGTGTAGCCTGGACGCGTGGAGGCGGTGTTCCAGCTCAAGGCGTTCATGCTAGATCTCCGGGCGGCCTGGACACGTGAAACCACGTGGTTCCAGCCCGGGGCAACCATGCTAGATACCGCCCTGGGTGCACGTGAACACGCATGGTTATGGCTCGAAGCCACCATGTTAGACATCCACCTGGGTGGCTTGGACGCGCGGAAACGCACGGCTTCAGCTCGGGGCCACCATGTCAGATACCACGTGGACGAACCTGGAAAATCACCGCCCGAAGAAAGTGTGTCAGACCATTACGCATCTGGCGTCGGTCTGTTCCGGTGTGGATCCTGTGGGCCCCCACGCTGGGGGGCACCCAGAGGACCACGTGTTAGATACCCCCCTGTGGGTGTCACGCTCACGTAAAAACACGTGGCTTCAGCTCGGGACCACTATGTTATGAAAACACGTAGTTCCAGCGAGGGGCAAGATGCATCCAGCTTATATGACGCCCCCTCCTGGGCGGCCTGGGCACGTAAACACACGGGGTTACAACTCGGGCCCACCATGCCACTGACCCCCTATGGGCGGCCTGGACATGTGCAAACACATGGCTCCAGCTCGGGACCCTTATGTTAGATACCGCCCTGGGTGGCATGGCACGTGAAAACACGTGGCTCCAGCTCGGGAAAACCATATGATATGCCGCCCCAGGTGGCCTGGACACGTGATGGGCACGTGGTTCCAGCTCGTGACCACCATGTTCGATATCCCACTGGGTGGTCTGGACACATGCAAAGCACATGGTTCCAGCTCGGGACCACCATGTTCGATACCACGGTTGGAGATCTGGAAAATCACCCGCCGAAGAAACCGTGCCAAGGTATTACATATCTGGTGTAGATTTGTTGGTTCTGTCTGGCTTTCGTGGTCCCACGCTGGGGGCGCCCAGGCGACGACGCGTTAGATCCCCCCCCCTGGGAGGCCCGCTTACGTACAAGCACGTAGTTCCAGCTGGGGGCTACCATGTTAGATATTCCTTTGGGTGGCCTGGACACGTGAAAACACTTGGCTCCAGCTCGGGGCAACCACGTTCGATGCCCTTGGCCTGGACATGTGAATGCACATGGTTCCAACGATTGTCAATTTACAACCGTCTTATATATAGAGGTAGATATATGTACCCATATGTGTATACATACATATATATATATGTATACATATATATGTATGTATATATATATATATATATATATATATATATATATATCGCCGCCTGCTGGGCGGCATGGGTACGTCAAAACACGGGGTTTCAACTAGAGCCCACCATGCCATATACTCCCACGGGTGGCATGGACATGTGCAAACACATGGCTCCAGCTCGGGACCCTCATGTTAGATGCCGCGCCCTGGGTGAATTGGCCGCATGAAAACACATGGTCACAGCTCGGAAAAAATACCATAGCTTATACCGCCCTAAGTGGCCTGGACAAGTAAGGGACACGTGGCCCCAGCTCGGGACCACCATGTTCGATATCCAACACATGTGGTTCCGGCTCGTGACTATCATGTTCGATACCCCAGGGGAAAATCTGAGCATCGCCCGCCGAAGAAACTGTGTTCAGTAATTACACAATCGTAATGGCTTTCTTGATCATGTTACACATTTGTAATGGTTTTATCGATTCTGTCTGCATATTGTGGGCCCCCACTCTGGGGGTCCCCCGACGACCACATGTTGGATACCTCGCTGTGACTGGCCCGCACACGAACAAAAATACATGGTTCCAGCTCGGGGGAGCCATCTTAGATACCCCGCCTGGGTTGCATTTACAAGTAAGGAGCACATGGTTCCAGCTCGGGGTAACCATGTTCGATACCCCCTAGATGAACTGGACACGTAAAGATACATGGCTCCAGCTCGGGACCACCATGTTCGATACCCCACTGGGTGGCCTAGATACGTAAACACACATGGTTCCAGCGAGTGACCGCCATGTTAGATACCCCCTGGGTGGCATGGACATGTTAAAACAGGTGCCATCTGGGAACGACCATGCTAGATACCTCCCTAGGCGACCTGGGCACGCGAAAACAACCATTTCGCCTGAGACATCTTTTGAATTCTGGTCCCCAAGAGAGGAGCAACATATACGACACCGAACCGTTTTGCTAGAGACGTCCTCAACAAATTATGCAAAAGAAACGCGGCGCTCGAGACATCCGCAACAAACGAAAATGCCAACTCGGAATTTCAAAAACCAGCGTCTCGCTGGGGACATCCTGAAAATGTCATCCACCATCCCTCATCGACCAAATTATCTACCTCAAAGAAATCCGCCTGCCTCTTCGAACTTGGCACCCGGGGAGGGTTGACCATACTAAAAGCAAACCCTGGGCCCGAGCCCTTTCCGGGAAAAACGAAGCACTGCCTGCCCCACGAGGTTGCCCCTGCTATGCCGAACTCCTCCGTCCCCCCCCTCCCTCAGGCGGCCTCAAGGAAACTGCTGCCGTCGGCGAGACCGAGAACATCGAGCAGGAGGAAACTGCCACTCACATGTCCTTTCTCTACGAGTAGGGGAGCGACTACGGAATTGATGTACCCCCGAATTGCTTTGCTTGTCAAATCCATGGGGAAAGCGCAGACTGTTCGTACACCTACAAACATTCTACGCATGATCCGAGAAGAAAACACATTTGGAGGTAAATCAATATGGTAGACGATCCCGTGCTCGATCCTTCTTCCCACTCATCTTCCCCTGGGTGGGCGCGCGGGCGCGCGGGGATCGGGATGCCCAGGCCCTCGACGTCATGATATCTTCGCTCATCACGTCGACCCTCCTCCTCCTCCACCTCGTCCTCGTCCTCGTCCTCATCCCCTCAACCTCCCCCTCCCCCTCCCCCTCCCCCTCGTCGTCCTCCTCCTCCCCCTCCTTCTCCTCCTTCTCCTCCTCCTCTTCCTCCTCCTCTTCATCCTCTCCTCCTCCTTCTCCTCCTCCGTCTCCGCCTCCTCCTCCTCATTCTCCTCTTCCGCCTCCTCCTCCTCATCCTCCTCCGCCCCTCCTCCTCCGCCCCCGCCTCCGCCTCCTCCTCCACCTCCCTCCTCTGCCTCCTCCTACTCCTCCTTCTCCTCCGCCTCCTCCTCCTCCGCCTCCTCCTCAACCTCCGTCTCCGCCTCCTCCGTCTCCTCCTCCTCCTCCTCCTCCTGCTCCTCCTCCTCCTCCTCCCCGTTCCCCATTACCATTTGTTCATCCTGAATCGTTTTTTTACTGTCCCGGGGCCAGGCACGGGGCTCCCAAAGGCCCGTCTTCATGACTTGAGGGGCCTGGGTAGATGCAACGATACTGACCACTGACGTACACTCCTGCCTGCATCAGCTCCTCCGCCAAGATCCTGGAGTTCATGAAGTCCGGGTCCCAGATAAGGCCTGCGGGCCGACCGCCGCCGCGGGCAACGGGGCGCGTGGGGGGAAACTGGGCCTCCGAGCACGGACTGGACGGCCCCCAGCATTCCTCCAGGCCTACGACGGACTGCTCTTGGAAGTTCTTAGAACCAACAACAAATCTAAGCGCAGATGCCATGTTCTGAAAGCAGAAAACAGCTGCATCAGAACAAGACAGCGTCGGCCAGAGATAGGATCAAAACGTGCTGTGCACAGCATGAAAGACTAGTGCATTATGTTGTTCCCATCGTACCTAATGGATCACATCCCAAGCGTAATTTCGAGCACCCAGAAACATATCGAGTCAGTGTCGAAGGAGTATCGCCTCCCAGGGCCCCACACGTGAAAACCCTCAAGTATCGGTGTTGCCTTGGTGCTCGAAATTCTCTGGTGATCAAGGCTAATGTAGGTTGGGACATCATAACTCTTGCAATCTTTGCGTGGGCATACAGGCGGCATACAGGCAGACCAGGACCCTTGCCACTGCTTCATTACCCGTGATTCCCTCGGAATCGTGGGCCCCCGCGGCTCGCGCCTCCGCCGCCGATGCCGGCTCACGGCGGAAACGCGGCCAGCGCGCCGCGCGGAGGAGCTGCCGTTCTGCCCTCCCGTGATCATCTCGATTTTGGACGCCCGAAGTGGGTACGGAACACATGGGCAAAATGCCCAACGACGAATGCTGTCCAAAATCGACAGCGGCCGCTGTTGCGCAGGCGGCTTCGTGTCTTCAAAGAACAACATCCGCGGCGGCGCGGACAGCGAGTCCAGTTCAAAATGAATAGGAACTGCTGTTGGGCATTGTACCCATTCTTTCCGTACCCATTTCGATCGTCCCGATTCGATGATCCTCAGAAACTGAATGGCCCCTGGGAACGACAGGGCTGTGTTTTGCCGGTCCCGTTCTGCCGCTTTTGCTGCCGGTGCTGGCGCTGTTTCTCTTTTTCCGATTCCGTCGCCGTTTTTGTTGCGGGTGCGCCAATTTCCACGCTGGAGCCGTTTTTGTTGACCGTTTCTGGTTGTAGTTGTCTGTCGTATCCATTTTCAAGATGCACTTGTCGGAACCCATGAAAAAAAAAACGGCCCTGCCGCTCCCAGAGCCCACGAAGCTCAGAAAATGCGCTATTGCCAACGTCTGCATGGCCACGTGCACTTTCAGCATCTGCTCTCCGGCACGCACACCACGCCCTTCATGGCCTGACTGCGGCTCCCCTACCCTCCAGCTCCAGCCCCCCCGCAGCGCGCCTCCTCTTCCGTGCCTTGCGTGCCCCGCCGCTGATCGACCGGCGTTTGACTCTCCTCTTGCGGCCGCTGATCTAAAAGAAGACAGCGCCAACGTTTACTTGCAAACCGAAGCCCCCTCAGAGCAACGTGCGCATCTACCGGAGGAGCCGCACGCTATCGGAGGAGCCGCACGCTATCGGAGGAGCCGCGCGCTATCGGAGGAGCCGCACGGAGGAAACACACGCTGGGGTTACAATAGTGCCAGATTCTTCCTGGTCGCGACCGACGAGATCAGTCTCTACGGATGTTGCTCCAAACTCGGGTTGCAGTCGCGACCGATTTGCTGCGACCTCGGTCGCGACCGATTTTGGAATCGGTCGCGACCGATTTGGACCGCTGATCGGTCGCTACACATCGCGACTGAAGAACGACAGCATCCGATGATCTGGGTCTCCGGTAAGACGAAGCCTGGGGACCCAGACAATTTCTTTCGAAGAGCGGTCAGCATCACGGTCAGCATCACGTCTGGGGAGAAAGCGATCGGGAATCAGAGAAGAATGCAAAACGGCATAAACACAAACATTTGGGGCTCCGTGCGGACTTCTTGAATCTGCACTAAACCCCCCTCCCTGGCTCGCGGAGCGCGCCAGGGAGGGGCGGATCCTAGAAGTCCGCGCGGAGCGCCGAAAGCTTACGCTTACGTTGTTTTTCCAATGCTGGACCGAAACGTTGTTTTTCGTTTCGTGTTCGGTCTGCGCTGCCTGTCTTCCTGCACCTCCCTGCAACAACATAAAACAAGACACAGCCGAAGTTCAACAAAACAGCGTTTGGGTCCAGCCCTGTTTTTTTCTCCCTCGAAATCACGGGCCCTGCCCGCCCCTGCCGGTACGAGCGGGGGGGACAAAGAGAGGGGGAGGAGGAGAGGCAGGAGGAGGAGGAGGAGGAGGAGGAGGAGGAGGGGCGGCAACTGCTCTAGTCCGTCGAGCGACCAACACGCCGCATTCCTCACGGCACCGCGTGCCCGAGGACGGCAGGACGGAGTCGCGGTGCTCCCTTCCCCCGGACCAGGACACTTCGGACCGGGACGCATCCGGGGGCCCTGAGACCTCGCGGCGGTGGAGGACGCGTCGAGCGCCGCGGCCGTTCCAGGGCGCTCCTGCACGCTCCGAGAGGGCGCAACGCTCTGGCGCGGCCTGTCCCGATGCATGCTGGCCCCGCCCCGTGCGCAATTCGGAGGCTTCGCCTGCGGGGCCGTGCACCTCATGACCCCGGGCGCCTCCCTGCAGACAGGAAGCGCTCGCCTCCCTGCGCTCCTTCACCCGGCAATGGGCCCCGCGTCTGAAGCAGCCAGCATGGCCCCAGCGCCGGAGGGCGACCACGCAGCGGCCCACGAAAAATGATGAATACCCAGTTTTTGCATGACAATAAAAAACTAATCACCAAATCGTCCTCCTGTGGAGAAGCAGGCCCGACTTCATCCTAGCGTGGCCCCCCTGCCTGCATCCTTTGCGCTCTGACGGCGTACCATCGTGGCAACGCAAGGCTGAGTCCCAAAAAAGTGTCCCCCACCCCCTCCCCCTCCTCCTCCTCCCCCTCCCCCTCCCCTCCTCCTCCTCCTCCTCCTCCTCCTCCTCCTCCTCCTCCTCCTCCTCCTCCTCCTCCTCCTCCTCCTCCTCCTCCTCCTCCTCCTCCTCGTCCTCCTCCTGCTTCTCCTCCTCCTCCTCCCTCTCCTCCTCCTCCTCCTCCTCCTCCTCCTCCTCCTCCTCCTCCTCCTCCTCCTCCTCCTCCTCCTCCTCCTCCTCCTCCTCCTCCTCCTCCCCCCCCGGCGGCTGGGCTCGGGCCCGCGACGACGACGGACTTGGGCAGCTCGCCGGCGTGGAGCCTCCCGCGACCGTTCACTCGCGGCGCCCTCCCGCCGCCAACGAGGGGGGAGGCCTCACTCACTCACTGATGGCGGTCGATCGAATCGTGCAGCCACCTGTCCTGCCCCTCCCCCTCGGCTGCGGGCCCGAGGTGGCGGGGGGTTCATTAGGGAAAGGGGGAGGCCTCCTCCCACCCTCGGGGGAGTCGTAGAGGGGGACGTCCGATCAGGGGTCGAGCTAAATAGTGCTGTCCGTTTTCGTGCTGTACTCGCTTCCGTTCGTTCTGTCTTCGGCCTGCGCTCTCCAAGCGAAGAGCGGTGCACGAGATTCGCCAGAACACCGTTTGGGTCCACCCCTGGCGTCCAAGAGGGTGGCGTCCCGGAGGACGTGCCACAAATCGTGGCCCGAGGCACACGCGCGGTCCAAGGGACGCACCGAGAGACGAAGAGAGATAATGAACATAAGATGTGGGGCGATGTGATGGCCGCAGCCATGATCCCCCCCCCCTACACAGTCCACGAGCAACCCTCCACAAGAATCCCAACCCTGAGACCCCAGGGGGTCCACGGATCTCGGGTGCGGGCGCGCCACGCTTTCCATACCCAAAACACCGAAGCCCAAGAAACCGAGGGCACCCTGTAGGCAAGCAGGGTGTTTCTTGGCATGGGCGTACACTGTAGTGATCACCCCACTCTTGGCCGCCCACGACGTCCCAGTCCTCCTCCTCCCCTTCCAGGACGAACCGAGGACACCCTTGCGCCGCGAACAGAACAAACATCGGGGACGTACACTGCCCACCTGCAGCAAGCGGCAACTTTGACGGGCCCGGCAAGAACAAATGATCCAGTCCCCTGCAGTCGTGAGGAAGAGACGCAGGCGCTGATTTGGTTGAAGTAATCTTGCGGGTAAGTCGCGGCGCAGGAGGGTCGCAGGCTGGGGGCGACGAACACTGCCGACAACGACAACCGGGAGGGCTGCTCTACCGGCAGCATGCTCGATGCCTACACGTGCATCCACCTTGGCAGCACCCCCCTGCCTTTGTGGGCCCCGGAAACGGCAGGGCCGTTTTTTCACCGCTTCCAAAAAAATGTCCCTTGAAAATGGAGACGGCCAAAAAACGGCGACCGGAAACGGCAAAAAAAACGGCTCCAGGACTGGAGCCGGAGCCGGAACCGGTCAAAACACGGCGACGGAACCGGTAACAAACACGGCGTCGGGACCGGCCACAAAAAAACGGCAAAACGGAACCGGTTAAAAAAACGGCCCTGTCGTTTCCAGGGCCCGCTAAGCCCCCTGCACGGTGGCAGGTGCTAAATGCATCGGGGGGGCGCGATGCTCTCTCCCACCCCAAAAAAAGGTCGAGCCGACGCCTCTCCCGTGGTGCTCCAAGTCCTTCCGGTCGCAGCACAGTGGCGGAGATCTGCAGGTTTTGGAAGCGGTGGCTGGGGATGACCACGATGAGCCGAACTCGCGCCATTCCATGCGATCTTGAAGAAGATCGCGTGGGGAAGCTTACAATACATCCACCGTGTGAGGAGAAACAAGGATAGAGGAAACACATAGAATGGAGTATGTGGGGTCCCTGAGAACCTGCGGGGCTACCCTTGGGGCTGCTGTGGCCGTCTGGGACTGAACCTGGGCATCAGGTTTTTTTTCTCTACGCGGCGATCCCAGATCTTCTTGGGCATTCCTGGGGCATTCCTGGGCTGTGCGGGTGTGTCTTTTGGTCACTCGGGAAGCTCAGCGGGCCGTCTTGGCGCCCTTTCTCGTGCTATCTTGGGGCTCTCTCGAACCATCCGCTGGCCTCTTGTAGCGCTCTCTAGAATGGGGAAGACCACAACACACACATACATACATACCTACCTACCTACCTACCTACCTACCTACCTACCTACCTACCTACCTACCTACCTACCTACATACATACATACATACATACACACACATACACACATCCATACATACATACATACATACATACATACATACATACATACATACATACATACATGCATGCATGCATACATACACACGTACATACGTACATACGTACATACGCGCATAAGTACATACGTACACACGTAGATACGTACACAAGTACACACATAAATACATACACACATACATACATACATACATACATACATACATACATACATACATGCATGCATGCATGCATACATACATACATACATGCATACATACACATACATACATACACACATACATACATACATACATACATACATACATACATACATGCATGCATGCATGCATGCACACATACATACATACAAACATACAACAACACATACACACATTGATACATACATACTTACATACACACATATATCTATATATATATATATACACAGACACACACACACACCGCTACTCCTCAGACTTCTCCCGGGTTGCGTTCGGACCAGCATGTGTAGGCAAATGCCGCCGTGGCGACGGGGGCCCCCGAGGAGGCCCCCCCAAGAGGCGAAGACGAAGGACGCGCAGCAGTACAGGCGCCTCTTCCTCTTCTTGAAGAAGAAAACGGGAGGCGTGGGAACAGAGAGCACTCGGGGCCTCGTCCGGGACGTGCCCTCGCCTTCCTGGGGCCGCCCGGGGAGGACGACGACGACGACCAGGGGGTGAACCGTGTCGCCAGCTGCTGGCGCGCGACCTGCCGCTGCCCGTGCCACTGCTCGTCCTGCCGCGGGGCGCGGCCGGGGCCGCCCGCTGGCCTGGCCCTCTCCGCGGCAATCGTGAGGCACATGTCTATAGCCATCGGGCGAGATCCATCGAACTCGGATCCGTCAACGGACAGTCGAAGGCATGCTCGGATCGCACCGCCTGGCGTCTGCGGCCCGAAGCTTACCGTGAAGCCGAGGAGAGGAGGCCAAGAGATGCTCGATTCAACACCTTCCATCCACGAGTTGGCCCAGTCGCAATGCCCATAGCTCCATACATCATGGTTCTTCTCGTGCCCCTCCTGCTTCCGAGTCTCCTCCCCCTTTCCTGGAACAGATGTTGCCGATGGCTGGGAATAACTACACCTACTAGAAAAGGCGTCACTCTAGTAGAAGGCTCCGTGTAGTCCCTATTCCTGGACCAGCGCCCCAGGGGCGCTGAACCGAACAAGGGCAATTATCCCCTGGGCCAGTTTAGACCGTGCAGCAGGTACCCGACCATTTCGATGGAATGTGTTGTGTAATGAGCTGGCCCATGAACTCCTGCAGCCAGCTTTTCATCCAAGATCGTTCCTGATGCGCCTGGAGCCCGAGGCCAGAAAACTATGAAAACCCTCTGTCGTGTCGTTTCGCAGACGTTGGCGGCCTGGAAAGGGCCATGATCTCGCATTGTCTGCATTCGATTCAGACACGCGCCCCGCGCACGTGTTTCAGACAACAAACTTCGAACTCGGATGGGCCACGGGTCTAGTTGAGCAGCATCATCGGCCACGACCGTGATTGTAGCTGGCACCCGTGCGCCAAGAGGCCGACAGGCGCGAGACAAGGCGTCTGCCACCAATGTCTTGCAGAGCCAGGCCGCGGGAGCGACGAATGGGGAGCGAGGAGGGCCCGCGAGGCGCGCGCAGGCATGGGCCCGAAAGGCGGAGGGGACCGACCGATGCCACCAAACGGGTCCGCGACACCTAGACGAGGGCACGCCTGCGAGCTCGAGGCAGCAGGCTCCACAGACTGCCGAATCAACAACTCGGTCGCTTGGCACTGGGACATGGCACAGCTTCGCATGCACCACGCAATTTAGTTTATGGTGGTCAACGCACATGCACACGCACCTACACAATAGGTATACAAACATGCGCTTGCATAGGCGAAGGCTACATCGAGTCACATTGAACTGTGCCCGTCTCCTGGAACTCGGACGCGGCGCGTGTTTTTTTCCTGTCCCCCCGTGGCGGTCACGTGCCATCCCGCAGCAGCGGGGCCCGACACGTCCTGCAGACGGACGGAGCAAACCGCGCATCGACAGCGAGGGCGCGGCGCCGCAACGCGCCCGAGGAGGGCGTCGGAACCCAACGAATCGATGGCGGGGAGGACCCGTCCAGCCGCTGGTGCGCGCGGCAAGAGGCGGGCGGTCGAGCGGAGGGGGACCCCCACGGTTGTGGGTGGTGCTGTTTTTGTTCCTCCCCGCGGCAGAGCACCACCGGAAAGCAACGAGGACTCCACGGTCTGGCGCTTGCAGCCGCGTGTCGGTGAGCGCTCAAGGCGGATTACCCGAAGGCTTGCCCCTCAGATCCTGACGTTGCCATTTTTTCACAACGGGCGTTCGCGCCCGGTTCGGGCCCCGCGACCCTCACAGATCGATCCGGCTTGAAAATGGCGCAGAAGCATGGGGTCGGGGTCTCCGGTCGCAATGTTTCAAGATGTTGCAATTTGTTTCGCAACGTCCGATCTCAGGGACAGAAAGATACACACACACACACACACACACGCTGCTCAGGACATGGAGGGTGGTACCAATGCGGAGGTTGAGGTCAATGCGAATTTTTGCTTCCACACCGCACTCTGCGCAGATCCCGTGGATCGCGAGCTGAGATCGCTCCCAGCTCCGCTGCCAGCTAAAATTGCGGATGGCAGGGGTGACAGGTAGAAGACGTGCCGGCAATGACAAGAGCATAGCGGCGGTCCTTTACCCCTTCACAAATTGATACAGAACGCGTGCACGCTGCAAGCCAGAATGGCAGCGGGCGCTCGCGAACGCCTATTCGATGAGGAACGACTGGAAGAGGAGGAGAGGAAGCGGAAGAGGGGGGTGAAGAGGAGGAGGAGGAGGAGGAGGGGGAGGAGAAGGAGGAGGAGGGGGAGAAGGAGGAGGAGGAGAGAGGAGGAGGAGGAGGAGGAGAGAGGAGGAGGAAGAGGAGGAGGAGGAGGAGGAGGAGGAGGAGGAGGAGGAGGATGGGAGGCCCCTCGTCCCGTTGACTCGGCTCCACGCCCCCCACCTCCCGGGCCTCCGCCGCCGCGGCCAGCACCCGCGACGCGCGCCTCTGGAGCGCTCGGCCCCCCCCCGCGCGGGGGGGCCGCTCTTCGCCGAAGGCTCGCTGGCTGCCCAGGGCCGCGGTGACTGGCGAGGAGGGCCTCCGTCGGGTCGGGCGAAAGGGGGGGATAGCAAAGGGGGGGTTGAGAATCAGCTCACGTAGCTGATTTTCCCGGCGCCTCCCGGCGCCAGAGGCGGCTATGTATCGAGGAATGGGCCCCTCGGTGAGGCCGAAACCAGCTGCACGCAGCAAATTTCGTAACCCCCCCTTTCCCAATCCCCCCCTTTCGCCCGTCCCGACTCTGGCGGCCCAGCGCCGCAGAAAGAACACGGCCGTGGTGATCCGTTCGTGCGCCCGCTGACGTGGGCATGGCAATGGTCTGCGGGCCCGTGGGTCCGGGATCTGGCGCGCGGGCGCCACGTCCACGGATCGGGGACGGCAGACCACAGGACTTGAGGCTTCTGCCGGCCGGTCTGGCGACGGATCGCCACGGCTCTGCACGGAAACGGCACCCACCGCTGCAGTACAGGAGCTCGCCCACAAGGAACCTTCCACGAGAAACCCGGCCCTGGGACCCCTGGACGTCCATCGATTCGGGGTGTGGGAGCGCCACGCTCTTTCCGTAGCAAAAGCATCGAAGCCCAGCAGGGTGTTTCCTGGCATGGGGTTCCACTGTAATCCAGGCGTCGGGCGGGGCCAGGGCCAGGAGCGATCGTTACAGAGATCGGGAGCACTCTCAGCGCCCGGGCATCCGGGGTCTCGAAAAAATCGAGGCGGGGGTCTTTCATAGTTTTCGCATTCTCGGGGCCCTTTTATACTGGGCCGGTCGATCTAGCGACGGATCGCCCCGATTCTGCACGGAAACAGAAGCCATCGCTGATCCGTGCGCCTCGACCCGAAGGATCGCGCCACATCGCCAATGCATCGCCGATGCATCGGCGACTTCGTCGAGCCGCGTCGCCGATTCATCGCCGAAGCATCGGCGATGCGGCGCGATCCTCCGACCCCATTTACTCCGACCCCATCTAGGAGAAGGTCGGGCATGTCACGAGGCCTGGGCCCTCCACGCCTCCGGGCCGTGTCACTCCTCCTCCTCCTATTCCTCCTCCTATTCCTCCTCCTCCTCCTCCGCCTCCTCCTCTTCCGCCTCCTCCTCCTCCGCCTCCTCCCTCCTCCTCCTCCTCCTCCTCCTCCTCCTCCTCCTCCTCCTCCTCCTCCTCCTTCTCCTCCTCCTCCCTCCTGCTTCTGGACTCCTCCTCCTCTTTCTCCTCCCTCCTCGACCTCCTCGTCCCCCTCCCTCCTCCTCCTCGGCCTTCTCCTCCTCCTCCTCCTCCACCACCTTCTCCGCCTCCTCCTTCCGAGCCACGCCTTCTCCTCCTCCACCTCCTCCTCCTCCTCCTCCTGCTCCTCCTCCTCCTCCTCTTTCTCCTCCTCCTCCTCCTCCTCGTTCTCCTCCTCCTCCTCCTCCTCCTCCTCCTCCTCCTCCTCCTCCTCCTAATCCTCCTCCCCTCCCCTGGACTCCTCGTCCCTCCTCATCCTCCCTCCTCCTCGCCCCTCCCTCCTCCTCCTCCTCCTCCTCCTCCTCCTCCTCCTCCTCCGCCTCCTCGTCCTCCCTCCCTCGCAGTGCCACGGAGTCCTCGCCACGGGAGCCTCCCTCCACAGGAGCCGCGGCGGGCGGCCCCGTGGGTCCTCGGACAGGACCCGCTCGCGAGGCTCCCCAGCGGCCTTCTTGGTGGCGATCAGCTTCGCCGCGGCCGCCCTGCCCCGCTCCTGCACGGCGGCCCCGGCGCCGGCCCTCGCCCCCACCGACCCTCGAGCGAGGGAAGGGGAGGAGGGGATGTTCTTAGCCCTCCTCCGCCTCCCCCTCCTCCTCCCCCTTCTCCATCCTCCTCTTCCTCCAGCCTCCTCTTCCTCCTCCTCCTCCTCCTCCTCCTCCGCCTCCTCCTCCTCCTCCTCCTCCTCCGCCTCCTCCTCCTCCTCCTCCTCCTCTCCTCCTCCTCCTCTTCCTCCTCCTCCTCATCCTCTCCTCTCCTCCTCCTCCTCCTCCTCCTTCCTCCTCCTCCTCCTCTCCTCCTCCTCCTCCTCTTCCTCCTCCCCCCTCCTCCTCGTTGTCCTCCTCGCCCCCCTCCTCCTCCGCCTCCTCCTCCTCCTCCTCCTCCTCCTCCTCCTCCGCGAGGTTCCCTGATATCTCCTCCGCATCTGCCTTTCCTCCATCACTCGCCTCCCTTCTTCCGCTCCTTCAACCTCCTTCTCCCTTCAGTTCCCTCCTGCCCCCAGCCACCCATTCTCTCTCCTCCCTGGTCCTGGCTCTCTTCGCCTCGCCTCTCCTCCGCATCTGCCTTTCCTCCATCACTCGCCTCCCTTCTTCCGCTCCTTCAACCTCCTTCTCCCTTCAGTTCCCTCCTGCCCCCAGCCACCCATTCTCTCTCCTCCCTGGTCCTGGCTCTCTTCGCCTCGCCTCCTCCACTCGTCCTCACATTGATCCGCCTCGTCCTCCTCCTCTTCCTCCTCTTCCTCCTCCTCCTCCTCCTCCTCCTCCTCCGTCCTCCTCCCCCTTCCTCCTGCCGCCCCCCCACACTCATCCCTTCAACTCTGGTGTCCCTACATACAGTCGGCCCGTATCATAAGGATGCGCGATAAGGATGCAAGGGCCTTGGACGCCCATGTCGAAGCTTCTCGAGCGGGGCGCGGCCAACGAAAGTGGCCAAGGATGGACCGAGTAGGCAAGGATGCAGGGGTACCCACAGGGAAGGCTGCCCATCCTTACGATGCGGGTCGACTGTGATGCGCCCTCTTCCCGTCCGCATGCATCCTTCCTCTCTCCCTCCCTTCCTCCCGTCATCACCCACCCCACCTGTCCCACGTCCTCTCTCCCTTCCCTTCCCTCTTCTGCCTCGCCCTCCCCGTCTTTCCCTCCCTCACTCCTCGAGTCCCGCACGTCTCGACTCTCTCCCTAACGTCTCTCCCCCCCCCCCCCTCGCCTCTGTCCTTCCCTCCCCTCCCCTCCCTTGCTCGCTCCTTTCTCTTCCTCCCTCCTCCCTCCTCCTCCTCCTCCTTCCTCCTCCCCTCCTCCTCTCCTCCTTCTTCTTCTCTATTATTCTTCTTCTTCTTATTCTTCTTATATTAGTATATTATTCTTCTTCTTATTATTCTTCTTCTTCTTCTTCTTCTTCTTATTATTATTATTCTTATTTTCTTCTTTTATTATTATTATTATTATTATTCTTATTCGTCTTCTTCTTCTTCCTCCTCCTCCCTCCTCCTCCTCCTCCTCCTCCCTCCTCCTCCTCCTCCCTCCTCCCTCCTCCCTCCTCCTCCTCCTCCTCCTTCTCCTCCTCCTCCTCCTCCTCTTTCTTTTTTTTTTCTTCTTCTTCTTCGTATTCTTATTATTCTTATTATTCTTCTTATTATTATTGTTATTCTTCTTCTCCTCCTCCTCCTTCTTCTTCTTTTTCTTCTTCTTATTCTTATTTTTCTTCTTCTGCTTATTCTTCTTCTTCTTCTTCGTCTTCTTCTTCCTCCTCCTCCTCCTCCTCCTCCTCCTCCTCCTCCTCCTCCTCCTCCTCCTCCTCCTCCTCCTCCTCCCCCCTCCTCCTCCTCCTCCTCCTCCTGCTTTCTTCCCCTCCCTCCCCGCGCCTCCAGAAAGCAAGCAACGGCTCACGGGTGCCATTGACGAAACAGGCGCCCGCACCACGGAATGACGTCGGGGCTGGTACCAGAACGGGCCCTGGCCCAAAAGAGGGTCGATATGGTGCCGTCATCCTGGCCAAGGGGGGCTGCCGAGGGGAGCAGACACATCAGCGCCACAGAGAGCCAGCGACATTGGCCGGGAGGCTGGCAGAAAGGAGGAGGAGGAGGAGGAGGAGGAGGAGGAGGAGGAGGAGGAAGAGGAGGGAGGAGGAGGAGGAGCAGGACGAGGACGAGGAGGAGGGAGAAGGAGGAGAGGAGGAGGAGGAGGAGGGAGGAGGAGGAGGGGAGAAGGAGGAGGGAGGAGGAGGAGGAGGAGGAGGAGGAGGAGGAGGAGGGAGGAGGAGGGGAGGAGAGAGGAGGAGGAGGAGGAGGAGGAGGAGGAGGAGGAGGAGGAGGAGGAGGAGGAGCCCACGCCTCAAGGAGGAATCCCCGTCCAGCCGCACCGCTGCACTAAGCAGCACGGGGCGCGCCGCCCGCGGCCCGCGCGGGGCCTGTCCTCAGACCCTCCGCCGTGGAGGCGATCTGGTTGCCGAAGTCGTCGAAGTGGAAGCTGGCAACGACATGCGTCGAGCCAGCGACGGCATCGCCGTCATGAAGAAGAGGCCCAGCAACGGGAACAGGCCCTTCTTGAAGGTCGACGCTGCCTTCGCTCACGTGAAGGAACTACTCCAGCGCCTGCATTAACCATTGCGGAGATCTCCGCATGTCTATCATCGGGATCATCTGGGCCTTCATGGAAGACAGCGGGACAGCGGATGCAAAAGCCTCAGACTGGGCCGTCGCGAAGTTGTTGTCCTCCTCTCCTTCCACTTCCAAGAAAAGCGCCAAAACGTCCTCATCGCCCTCCATAGCAGCCGCTGTGCCATTGTCTGCCGAAGCCGCAGCCGCAGGGGTCAAGTAGAGGGCGTCGGCCACATCATCGCAAGGTACTTCATCAACATGAGCTGCACGTCCTGTGCCTTGGACATCTGTTTCGCCAGCACCACCATGCTGCTCATGTCCATGGGAAGACCCGGCGGGTAGCAGTGCTGCTCCCATGTGATTAGACGGCAAGGACACCCGAGCACGATTGGCGAATCTATTAACACGCGGGCGAGGGGCGCTCACCTCTTGTGTCCCCATCTGAGAAGGTTGAGCAGGGTTCGTTCCAGACGGGTTGCGGCCCTCACTGTCCGATCCCAACATCTCGTGATCATGACCACCGCCTTCATCACCATCCAGCACACTACCAGGGTTCTGAAGCATCCAGGTGACAAGGCTCCGCTGCTCGTCCGATAGGTCAAAGATCTCGTTCAGGTAGAGCAACGCAAGCGTCAGCTGTCGGTCTGAGAACGGCTCTGTGTTCTCCGCGGCCGATCGAGCAACGTGCAACGCATCGCGAACAGCAGCGCTCCAATGCTGAAGACCATCAAGGGTATCTGCGCTTGCTGTAGCCGTACCCAACGAAGTAGCAGGCGCCAGAGCCCCCGACGAGAGAGCACCCGAAGCACGACTTGCCAATGCTCGTTCCGCAGCGCCCCCAACTGAACCGCGTGAAAAGATGGCACCAAGTCCGTGCGCCGCCATCGTCTCGTTGATGCCGTCGTCGGAGCTGCTGGAGGAGGTTGTCTCATGCGGTACAGCAGAGGAGAGAGGATCAGCGGGTGGAACCAGGAAGAGGAGGCCGACGGGTCAGGCGGCCCGCTTGTATTCGCCCTCGAGCGTCTCCCGGCAGCCTGAACTTGAGCTTCGAGTTCCTCGTCTGTCACTATCGATCCAAAATGATGCGGGTATTCATCAGCCGTCATCTCGGTATCAGCGTCAGCGGTAACTTCCATGAGCTCCATGTCCATGTCAGTGGGCTCAGGGTAGCCGACGTTGTCGACGCTGCGGTTGTCCTCGTCGGGCAGGTACGGGGCATCGCTGTCGTCGCAGTCGCCCTCCACATGCACTAAGTGCGGCAGGAGGCGCGAAGGCGGGTTGAGCGAGAACGGAGGCCCAGACGGAAAGACTTGGCGCATTCGAAGGAGGTCCGCTTTTTCCGCTTCATTCATACGCGTCACGTCAGCAGCCTAGTCCCGAGGCCGAAGATGTGCGAGGGCACGTTGCCGTAGGGTGCGTGCGCGACGATGATCATGGACGGGCCACGCTTGACGAAGATGCAAGCGGGCCTGTTCCCTGGGAATAGCTGGCGAATAACCATCCACTCATGCAGAGCTCGACCGCCATATTCCATCGCTCCGATGTACATGTCACTGTGTCCACATCACCGCGCGATGGGGTGCTGAACAGGGACCGGAAATCATTATAACGTAATAAGTCTGCTACGTAAGGGACACGCCACTCCACCCATTGCTGGAAATCAGACCCAGAAGAGGTCACATAAAGCGATGGCAACCACTGCTCTGCCCATCGCGAAATAGCGTCCAGCAGCAGCAGTCGCCGCCGATGTCCTTGAACACCATGCCCCCCCCGAGGTACGCGCCGCGGCGGCGGGTCCTGTGCGAACAGCGAGTCCTGCTCAAGGTGGTCACCACAGAGTGGTGGAAGCCACGATGCGATCGAGCGCGAAGAGCTGCGAGCACACGATTCCTCAGCCGCTGAATCTGCCGAACCAGGGTGCACAGCCGGATAGCCCTGATGATGAGGCCAACCACATATGAGCATGTGTTCGTCCGCACATTGCCCCAATGCCAACAGCCGCGAAGATTCGGCCTTGCCCCATGTAGTCGAGCGGTGCTGGGAAAGTCGAGCCCTCCCCACATCCGAACTGTGCCACGCGGCATGACACATGCTGGAGCCGAGAATGCACCTTTCCTGCATCGTCCCTACAGGGGTAGCAAACAGCCCACAGAAAGCCTAGTAGTGAAACACGCGACTGGTGAACTCTGTGCCCCAATTCATCCAGTCGTCGAAATCGCTGCAGGCGATGGGCTCCGAGAAGAGTGAGGGGGCCCAGCTCCGCGCCCATGGCTCCAGCAGCACTGCAAAACGTGCCAACCTCCGAAGCATGATGGGACCTACTCCAGCTGGCGGCATAGCAGCAAACCTGGCCTCGTCAATGGAATCAAGATAACGCACGCGATGCGGAAGAGTGGCAT